CAAAACCCCAAAACCCCAAAACCCCAAAACCCCAAAACCCCAAAACCCCAAGATTGTAGAGGTGCATGCAGATTTGATGATTGAATTAATCATGATATAAACATCAGGAATAAAATACGTAATTAAAGTTCATTGAAACTAGAAACTTAACTATTGCATAACTAATGTTCAATCGTAATGATACAAAGCAAACACAATTATTATTTAATCTATCAAAAGACAAAACTTTCCTTGTCATTTGATCATTGAGTTGTTCCCTCATCGAGCCATTGCACTTTTCTCCCGTTATTCCACTCTCCCATACGCTTAGAGCCCTCCTTAGAGATGTAGCTGCCTTTACCATGTTATTTTCCTTGCTTCCACTCTCCTATATATTGCCTGCCATCAGCCCAGGTAAATGTTCCTTAGCCCTCGCGCTTATCATTCAAAAATTCTCCTTCATATCTCTTTCCATCTTTCCATAAGAGGATACCTCTGCCATGCATTTTATTCTTCTGCCACTCCCCTTCGTAAAACTTTCCATCAGGCCAGTAATACTTTCCATATCCGCTTATTTCGTTCTAAGCAAATTCACCTTCATAGTAGCTTCCATCAGCGAAAGTCAGTTTTCCTTTTCCGTCTTTTTTGCCATCTTTGTACTGGCCTTCATACTTAGCTCCATCTGGCCATGATTCCATTCCATATCCATGCTGCTTATCATCAACCCAGTCCCCATTGTAGTAAGCGCCATTAGCGTGTGAGTAAGTTCCTTTTCCATGAGCTTTGTCATTGACCCACTCGCCTTCGTATACGTCGCCATCTGCATGTATCAATTTACCTTGACCATTTGCTTTGTCATTTGCCCATTAGCCTTCGTATCTTGAACCATCAGGCCAAAGCTAATGTCCATAACCATCTCTCATGTTATTAAGCCACTAACCAGTGTAAGTTGCATTATTTTTTAGAGTTATTGCACCCATCTAAATTCTTCCTTAATCATCTGCCTCCAAACCCTCTTAATAATGACTTTCTCTTGGAATTGCTCCTTATGATTCATACAATTAATCCTGCCCTAGAAATCATTAAAATCTAGAATTTACCTCTATCATTGGCGGAATTGACAGCTTTCTTGTCTTGTTTTTTCATTTACCTCATTTAGTTACCGTTTTAATAGGATTAATTTTGCTGCTGATAATCCTGATTTCCGTCTGCGTAATCATTATGACCAGAGTATCTTTCGCCCCCAAAGGATTCACCAATTATCATATCTTTTTCTTTGTAGGAATTGCGCACTTAGTTGTTGTCGTAACGCTATCCGTCCTCTTTGCATCCAGTGCAATAGCCAGTACAATTTCCCATTTAAATAAAACTAGCAATTTTATAATTTTTATGAATTCTCTCCAAATACCTACTTTTTGGGGTTTTGGGGTTTTGGGGTTTTGGGGTTTTGGGG